GGTGATACTCATTAAGGGTTCTAAACAAATAAAATTAATTTATTTTTTCAAAAAAATAAAATGAAAGATCTTGTAAGAATAATTCCAAAACTTTTGTTTAACAGTAAATGAAAACTTAGTGAAAAGATTACAACACAACTCTAAATTGCAGAGAATATGAACTATGTGACTCACAAACTAAGACAGACACTGCCAAAGCGATCTTGCCAACATCCTCATCAGCTTGCATGCGCCTGAAATTTACAGATATGCATCAATTCAAAAACAAAATGTGGATACTGGATAATACCATACAATCATTTATAAAGACATGAAACAACGAGATGAGACAGGAAGTTCCAACTCAGGTTATGAGGTAACAATAGATCATCATAACTATCATAATCATCAAAGGTTCATAACTATCCATCACAAGAAACACTAGGCAAAAACTCGATCATTCGAATTCGATACACTCATAAACAACACACGCAAATGGAAAATTTTAACTCAGTGACCAAGAATCACTATAGCCTTTAAATCAAGAGATCACAAAAACTATAAAAGCTACTGAAACTACATAATCTAAAACCATGGTCAAATTGAGTTGTAAGACGAGTTTCAAGCATTTGCAACATACATTTCCTCTCGAAATTTAGCAATTCGACATTCAATAGAAACACATCTCCCAAATAAGATCAAATTTATCAGGACAAAAAGAAGCCGTCTCTTTTACCAAACATATAATCAAAAAGAACAATATTAGCAACCCAATTCTCAAGTATATTTCTCAAAAACATTTGAAACAAGAATCTATGAAATCGTTTCAGAGACTTTTCTTTGCATGTAAAACTAAACTAAGAATACTAATTTGATTCTTAAAGCATAATTGATCGATCCTATTTTGGGTAAAACTAACAATTCCCTCCGATTATCATCTTAATCTCAAATTATTAAGCCATGTATTAGCATAGAACACTTACAGGGAGGACAATAAGGTCGAAAATGGAGTCGGTAATATCAGAGAGGAGAGTATCGGCGACCATCTTGATACCATGACAAGCATCAACACCAACTTGATTCTCGACGGATGCCACCGTCACGTCAGCACCACCTCGCCGTAATACGGTGATCATCGCCACTGCTTCTACTCAAATCTCAGTTAACCCAAGAAATTCGAGAAAGAGGAGAGTGATTACCTCATGGAGAACCTTATTCTTCCGCGACTTGTCGACACTCTTGCAAGCAAAATACTCGATCGTTCAAAATCGGATCTCAAAACCGAAGCGGAGGTTGCTCAGAGACTTGAAAAAGCTTGACGGAGAAGACGTTCTTTCTCAACTCGCTACTGAGTATGTACACTACAATCCAACGGAGCTTCACACGTGGCTTGATTCCTTGCTTTCCGACCTCAACCCAAAATCAGACTCCGATCTCAAAGTTATTCCCGGTGGCGCGGTTCTCAATTAGTTCTCTCTCTTGATTCGTCTTCTTCGTCGAACCAAGCCGGAGATGCAAACGAAGAGAGAAGGAGAAGAAGAGAGGAAGACGATAAATCGCCATTATCTCCGTCGCTCTCGAGAGAAGAAGAGGTCGAACACAAATGAATTTTGTTTTTCCTTTCAACAACCCTAAACGAGTCGGTCCAATGAGCGGATGCCACGTGTCCCCGGTGATACGTCTCTACAACGTCAACCCATTGATACGTTTCACATCACTTTTAACCTTCTTTCATTATTTTTAATCTATTTTAATTCTATAATATTCACAAAATATCACCGATAATGGTCTTAATTTTTTACTGTTAGATACCAATTGAGAGACTTCCAGTGAGAGTGTTCTCAC